TGAACGGACCAGGGGCAAAAGTCGAGGGGTGGGGCAAAGGGCGAAAGGGCAGGGCGAAAGGGCAGGGCAGAGCGCAAGGGTGGGCGAGGGGCAGACGAGGGGCGGACGAGGGGTGAGAAGGCAGGGCAGAGCACGAGGCAGAGGATGGGAGGTGTGAATGAGGGGTGAGGGCAGAGGTGAAGGGTGCCCTCGCCGTCCTTGTCATGCCCCTGCCATTGTCGTCGTTGTGCCCCTGCTGTCGTTGTGCCCCCCCGTCCTCGTTGTGCTGTCGCCCTCATCCTCGTGCCCTCATCCTCATCGTCGTGCTGTCGCCCTCATCCTTGTGCCCTCATCCTCATCGTCGTGCCATTGCCCTCATCCTCATGCCCTCATCCTCATCATCGTGCCGTTGCCCTCATCCTTGTCATCGTGCCGTTGCCCTCATCCTCGTCCTCATGCCCCCATCCTCGTCGTGTCCTCGCCCTCATCATGCCCTCACCCTCGTCATGCCCCCACCCTCGTCGTGCCCCTGCTGTTGTCATTTGTCGCCCGCTGTCATCCTGTCTCGGCTGCTGTTGTCATTGTTTGTTGTTTGTTGTTCTTCAGTTGTCGTCGTTCATCGCTTGTCATTCATCGTTCGTCGTCGTTCGTTGTTCATCGCCATTGTCATTTGTGGCCATCGTCGTTTGTCGCTGTGGTTCTCTGCTCGCCACCACTTGCCTGTCGCCGTGGTTCGTCTGTCTGTGCCTCTGCCCACATCCCTATAGAAGAGGAGGGGCACAAGAGGCGAGGCAAGAGATGGAGGGGTGTGGTTCCTGCCCCTGCCCACATCCCTATTGGAGGGGAGGGGCCAGAGAAGTAGGGAAAACGAATGTCGACTTGAAGTCGACGTTCATTGGCCTAAGGTTGAACTAAACGGGTATTAGAGTATGTAGACGTGAGTAAAGCATATTACTTATCATTTTTTTTCTCGGTCTTGAGGCGTTGTTTGGGGGGTTGGGTAAAGTGGGGAGAGGAGAGATGGTGGTTGAAGATGAGAATCAACGACGGTCATTGTTGTTGATGGCTTATCCGGCGGATGCTACGGGCAACATGATTGGCTGGCGCAGGCAGTCCGGCCAGCCCAGGTTCCACTTGTCAACTGCGGAATAGCCCATATGCTCGAGATACGATGGAAAACTTTTTATTTAGCATCAGTATTTAATTATACTACTGTATTCTATGTATTTATTGAGGTCCGAACATCATTTGGGAGCAGAAACGAGCTGAGAGCCCAAGTTACTGCTTTCGTGTGGTGATTCACGTTCCTCTGCTGTTCCAACCTCTTGAATACCAGGTGTTCGACAAGCTGAAGAATCAAAAAAAACCTTGCATTTATAATTCTTGAGGGAGTAAGTACAACATATCAAAAATTTGGGCTGCATTTCCAATGTGGATCTTGCAATACAAGCCAGTGTCTGAAATCTGACACATCTTGAGTTGGTTTTTGCTTCAGAATCCACATCATCGTTCATGATTTCTTAGTTTACATTCTAAACTTGATAAGTTAATCAGGGGAGCTCTATTCCTAAATACTATCATAACAAGCCAGTCTATATACTATTTTTATATATTTATTTGGCTTCTCCTCTGTCTTGAAATCTACATACAGAGGAGAGTGTCCCCAAATTGGCCTGAGCCTGAGATGAATTCATTCATAAAATATTTAAATTTAGGTATATTTTGTTAAAACTACAGGCATAGATGCACTTATATACTCATAACAATCTCCGAGATTTTTAATACAGATATACCACATCTTGCATCCATCGGAGATGTTCCATTGTTGACCAACGGAACAGAAACGGGATCGGGCCGATAGTCCCAGCGAAATCCCGCCAAACCACGATCAACATCGTTGCTCTTAATCTTTGTCCACCACCTCCCTCACCCCCTCACCGCGAAGCAGCCCAGAAACACAAAGAAAAGGTAAGTATATATATTTCTTATGTGCTTACATTACTACTAACCAAGCTCTACCCTCACAGAACCCCGTCCATGTCAATGATGACATAACAAAGCCCCTCCCCTTGCGACAGGGATGTGGGCTAGCTCCCTGCGAAGGCCACCTGCTTGTCCGCCACCGCCCACTCACCCACCACCGCCCTCTCAAACAGGCAGAGGATGGCAACAGTGGGCACAACGATGACAGCAGGCACCACAGCGACAACGATGGGCACCACAACGACAACAATGATGGAGAGGGCACAATGACGGCGATGAAGGAACGACGATGGCGATGGGGGAATGACAACGATGACAGCAGGGGAATGATGATGACGACAGCAGGGGAATGACAACGACAACGGCAGGGGAAAGACAATGACGGCGGCGGTGGGAGCACCCTTCACCCCCACCCTCTGCCCTCGTTCGCTCCCTCTCACCCTCTTCCACCCCTCGCTCGTCCCTCATTCACCCACTGTCTCACCCTCTGCCCTCTGCCCTCTGCCCTCGCCCTCGCCCTCTTGCCCACGTCCAACCCTCGTTTGCCCCTCGTTTGCCCGCCCTCTGACTCTGCCCTCGCCCTCGCCCTCTTGCCCACATCCAACCCTCGTTCGCCCCTCATTCGCCCACCCTCTGACTCTGCCCTTGCCCTCTGACTCTGCCCTCGCCCTCTGACTCTGCCCTCGCCCTCTGACTCTGCCCTCGCCCTCTGACTCTGCCCTCGCCCTCTGACTCTGCCCTCGCCCTCTGACTCTGCCCTCGCCCTCTGACTCTGCCCCACCGTCTCGCCCACCTCGTCCGCCTCTCACCCTTTCGCCCTTTCACACAGTCGCCCTCTAACACCTTGCCCTCTCGCCCACCTCGACCTTGCCCTCTACCCACCTTGCCCTTGCCTGTTGCCCTCTCGCCCATTTGCCCACCTCTCCCTCTCACCCACCTCGCTGTCTCACCACCACCACCACCAAGACAGTCACAGAATGACAACGGCAGGCAGGACAACAACGGCTGGGGCACTCTGCCTCGTCCTGTCACCCTCTGCCCCGCCCTGTCACCCTCTGCCCTGCCTTCTCACCCTTCGTCCACCCCTCAGCCGCCCCTTGCTCGCCCCTTGCTCACCCTCGCCCTCTCGCTTGCCTCTCACTGTCACCTCACCCCTCGCTGTCCATCCATTGAGGCGAACATCACCGAGGGGAACGAGAAGTGGTACAAACGGGCAGGGGGGGACAACGAGCAGCCAAAGAGTTCAACGAGCAGCAGAGGGGAAAACGAGCGATGAAGGGGCTAACAAGGAGGCAAGCAGGCCTGACGAGCATCAGAGAGAGGCCAAACGAGGAGACAATGGGACCACCAAGCACCGGAGGCGTCCCACGAGCATTGGAGGGACGAACGACGAACCGAGCAGCCCCAACGAGCAGCGAAGGGCCCCAACAACAACTCGATGGACACCTGCGAGCAGAGAGGACCAACGACCCCATCTGATGGCCCCACACAAGCAGCAAAGGGACGAATGACGAGCTGAGGCCCCCCAATGGGCAGCAGAGAGGGTGTATGAGCAGCAGGAGGGCAGAACGAACAGGTGCTCATTTTCTCTTTATTTCACAGCGGGTGGCTAGTAGAGCCACCTGCACCATGTATATAATATATTATTTCAATTTAATATGATTTTTTTCGTAATTTTTTTTGTCTGCTGAGATACCCCTGAGTTCGCTAGACGTCGTGACAGACGACGGCGCACTTCTATAAGCCACGAGAATATATCAGATACTGTATTTTTACAAGGTATGCTTATATGTCAGGACTGTGATTTTACAGTCCACCTACGGAGAGGGCCTTGCTGTGTGTGCCTGGGCTCACGGCTGCAGGCGGGGCTTGTCAACATATGCAAACAATGCAGGCAATGGTGCCGCAACACTGTTCTTCGTTGTTTGGGGTGCTCCCACTGCCATTTTCGATGGGGAAAGACGCCAACGACAAGGAAATATATTTCATCGTCATTCTGCACCATTTCCCCCATCATTGGGGGGTGGGAATGGGTGGATTGGGACAGGGCACTTTGGATGACACTTGGCATTTTTAGCAGTCATCTATTTTTAGATCGGACATTTTTTGTGCACACCAAAATTTGCAAAAAAATCATATTAAATTGTAAAAATTAAATACATGGTACAGGCGGCTAGTAAAGCCACCTGTTAAGAAATAGAAATAAAATGAGCAGAAATGGCGCATCCTATACACGCCGTTTCTGCTCGTGGGGGTGGGAATGGTCCCCGCCCCCGCTCCCACCTCCGCTGCCTCCGCTGCCCCTCGGTGGGCATCTCCACCTCCTCCTCGCCCCCTCTGCCCTCCTGCGCTCGGTGGGTCCCTCTGCCCTGCCCCCTGCGCTCGTTGGGGTTGGTTGGGGGCCCCTCCACCCCCTGCCATGCTCGTTGGGGTCGGTTGGGGATCCTCTGCCCCTTCCACACTCTCCATCCGCTCCCATCTGCCCCTCCCCTGCTCGTTTTGGGCCCTTTGTCACTCGTTGGGTCCCTTCGGGTGCTCGTTTGCGCCCTCTACTGGTCGTTCGCTGGTCGGAGGATTGGAGGGTCCCCTCGAGGGGGCGAGGGGGCGAGTGGTGGAGAGCGAGAGGCGAAGGGTGAGGAGACGGAGGCAAGGGTGAACAGGTGAGGGGGGAGAATGGACAAGGGGAAGAAGGCGGGGCAGAGGGCGAGGCAGGCGACATGGCGAGGCGGGTGAGAGGGCAAGGCCGGCGAGACGGCGGGGAAGAGGCCGAGGCGGGAGGCGGGTGATAGGGCAAGGTGGGCGATAGGGCAAGAGGACAAGAGGGGCGATAGGGCAAGAGGACAAGAGGGCAAGGTGGGCGAGAGGGCAAGGTGGGCAATGGGGTGAGATGGGCGATAGGGCAAGGTGGGCGATAGGGTGATAGGGTGAGAGGGCAAGGTGGGCGATAGGGCAAGATGGGCGATAGGGCAAGGTGGGCGATAGGGCAAGGTGGGCGATAGGGCAAGGTGGGCGATAGGGCAAGGTGGGCGATAGGGCGAGAGGATGAGAGGGGCGATAGGGCGAGAGGGCTGAGAGGGCAAGGTGGGTGAGAAGGCAGGGCAGAGGACGAGAGGGTGAGGCAGAGGACGGGGGGAGTGAATGAGGGGCGAGGGTGGGGGTGAAGGATGCCACCGCCGCCACTGTCGTCCTGCCCCCGCTCTCATCGTCGTCCTGCCCCCGCTCTCATCGTCATCCTGCCCCCGTTGTCGTCATCATACCCCGCTGTCTGCCGCCGCCATTGTCGTTGTCCTGTGCCTGCTGTCGTCGCTGTTGTCCTGCGCCTGTTGTTGTCGCCATTGTCCTGTGCCCGCTGTCGTCGTTGTCGTCATGCCCCGCTGTTGTTGTCGTTGTCATGCCCCCACTGTCATCATTGTCGTCCTGTCCCTGCCGTTGTTGTTCTGTCCCCCCGTCGCCATCCTCTGACTGGGCGAGGGGGCAATGGTAGGTGGGCAGTGGTGGGCAAGCAGGCGGTGGCAGGCAGGGGGCAGGAAGGGGCCCAAGCCCACATCCTGGTTGCGAGGGGAGGGACGGCTTTGGCGGGTCGTCATCGGCGTGGATGGGATTCTGTGAGGGCAGAGGTTGGTTAGTAGGGATGTGTGTACATAAGAAAGATACATATTTACCTTTTTTTTGTGTTTTGGGGCGGCTTCATAGTGGGTGAGGGAGGTGGTGGAAAAGAACCAAGATCAACGACGTTGATCACGGTTCGGTGGGATTTGGCTGCCCATCCCATTGGTTGGGATCATCGGCCCGATCCCATTTCCGTTCCGTTGTCGACCAACAGAACATCTCCAATGGACACAGAACGTGTCGTATCTCTATTCAAACTTTCGGAAATCGTTATTAGTATATAAGTGCATCTATGTATGTGATCTTAATGAAATAAAACAAGATTTAAATATTTTATGAGTCAATTCATCTCAGGCTCAAGCCAATTAGGGGAGTCTCTCCTCTGTACATAGATTTCAAGAGGCAGAAGAAATGAAATAAATATGTAAAAATAATGTACAGACTGGCTAATTATGATAGTATTGAGGAATGGAGCTCCCCCAGCCAACTTAGTAATTTTTGGATGTAAACTAAGAAACTGCAAACGACGGGGTGGATTCTGTAGTCAAATCAACTCATGGATGTGTCATATATCAGACACCGGCTTGTATCATAGGATTCACATGGTAAATTCAGGCTAAATTTTTTATATGATGTACTTACATACCCAAGGATCTCAAATGCATGGTTAGTATGATGTTTCACCTTGTCGAACAAGTGGTATTCAAGAGGTTGGAACATCAAAAAGACGTAAATCACCACGCAGGAACGGTAACTGGAGCTTTTAGCTGGTTCACTCTCTCAGATAATATTCGGACCTTTATAAATACATAGAGTAAAGTAGTGTAATTAATTACCAAACATTAATCAAAAGGATTTCCTCGTATCTCATGCGTATTGGCTCTTCCGAGGTTGATGAGCAGAACGCGGGCTGCCCGGACTGCCAACGTTAGCCAATCAAATCGCTCATGGCATTTGCCGGATAAGCAATCAACAACGTTGGTCATCGATCATCGTTGATCTCAGCTTCGACCACCACCTGGCACTCACCCTCTCAGTCCAACACCTCAAATGACCCCCCAGGGCCAACAAAAAGGTGAGCAGTATGTTTTTCTTTACAACTATATACTCTAACATGCATTTTTTATTCAAATTAGGTTAACGAACATCGACTTTAAGTCAACGTTCATTTTCTTTGCCTCTCGTGCCCCTTCCCTGCCATAGGGATGTGGGCTGGCCAGGACTCCCCCCTGGCAAGCTCACCCCCATCCCCATCCGCTGTAACTCCCCCCTGCTGCCTAGAACTTTCGCGCCCATCGCCCCCTGCCATTACCCACCCCTCCCCTTCAACAGGGATGTGGGTGTTGCCCCTCGCTCTCCCCTCACCTTTCGCCCTCCATCCCTTGCCCTTCGCCTCTTGCCCTTCGCCTCTTGCCCTCTCATGTTGCCCTCTTGCCTTCGCCTTCGCCCTCTTGCCCTTGCCCTTGCCCTTGCCCTCGATCCCTTGCCCTTTGCCTCTCCATCCCTTGCCCTTTGCCTCTCACCCTCCGTCCCTCGCCCTTTGCCTCTTGCCCTCTCGCGTTCACCATCACCCTCTCTCCGTCGCCCTCTCGCCATCACCCCCCACCCCTCACCTTTCGCCCTCCACCCCTTGCCCCTCACCCTTCACCTTCAACCTACAACGACACAGGGCACAGAACGACAAGAACGGCCACAGGGGGGCCCAGGCCAAGGACGACTCGGATGATGGCGACACAAGAGGATGACAATGGCAGTGGGTACAGCAGGACAACGGCAGCGAGGGGCACAGCAGGACGACGCAGCAGGGCACAGCAGGACGACGGCGCGAGGGGCACAGCAGGACGACAGCGGCCACATTCACAGGATGGCGACGATGGCAGCAGCGGGCAAGGACAGCAGTGGGCAATGACAGTACCGGGCACGGGAGGACGACAGCAGCAGGCACAGGACAACAATGGGGGGAGGGCACAGGACGATGATGACGGTGGGCACAGGACGTCATGCTGCCCTCTCGCACTTGCCCTTGCCCTTGCCCTTGCCCTTGCCCTCGCTCGCCGTTTGCCCTTGCCCCTTGTTTACCCTTGCCCGCTGTTCTGACCTTTGCCCCGCCTCTTTCTTCCCCTCGCCCGTCACCCCCGCCCTTCGCCTCCTGCTCAGCACCCATCACCAGCAGCTCAAGCAGAAGGGGGAGAACGAGGAGGGGGGAGCACAAGCACCTGAAGAGCCCCCACGAGCACCCAAAGAGGCCCAGTGAGCACCCGAAGGGGCCAACAAGTGACAAAGGGGGCGAACAAGCAGAGGAGGGAGCAGAGGGGGCCCCAACAAGCACAGGAGGGGCCAGAGGGAGCCCCACGAACAGAGGAGGCAGAGGAGGCAGGCGGGCAGGTGGGGATGGACCGTACCTGTCTCCCTGAGCAGAAACGGCATGCTATGACACGCCGTTTCTGCTCGTTTTACCTATATTCCATAGGGGGTGGCCCTACTAGCCACCTGCATCCTGTATTTTCTTTTTGTACAATTTAATATGATTTTTTTGCTTTTTTTTTTGTGCAAAGGGCAGGGACCACAACCAGAGTGGAAACGAAACGTCACGACACGTTGTTTCTACTCATTCTATAGTGGGTGGCTGGTAGAGCCACCTGCACTATGTATAAATTTTATTACAATTTAACATGATTTTTTTTGCTACTTTTTGGTGTGTTGCAAGATACCCCGAGCTCATTGGGCATCGTGACAGATGATGGCAAGAACACCACAATGGGTGTGTCATTGCTATTACATTATACTCTAAAAATAGCCACAGGCCCCGAAAACAGGCCGTGTCATCCAAACCCACCTGGCCCAATCCATCCATTCCCGCCCCCCGACAATGGGGAAACAGTGCACAACAATGGGGAAATATGTTCCCTCATTGTTGGTGCTTTTTCCCCATCGAAGACGGTGGCGGGCACGCTGAAAACGACGAGGAACAATGCTCAGGCATTGTTTCCTGCATTGTTTGCTTGTGTTGACAGGCCCCGCCCACAGCCACGTGCCCCGGCACACCTGGCAAGGCCCTCTCCATAGGTGGACTGTAAAACCACAGTCCTGACATATAAGCATACCTTGTAAAAATACAGTGTTTGATATAGATTTCTAGCAGACATGGCTGGACGGTGAGAGCAGTACAACGGGTGTGTCATAGTAATTACATGATGATCTAAAAATAGGTCCGGGGCCCAAAAAAATGCCGCGTCATCCAAACACACCTGGCCCAATCCATCCATTCCTGCCCCCTGACAATGGGGGAAACGGTGCACAACGATGAGAAAATATGTTTCCTCATTGTTGGTGCCTTTTCCCCATTGGAAATGGCGGCGGGAGCACCGAAAATGATGAGCAACAATGGTCGGGCATTGTTTCCTGCATTGTTTGCTTGTGTTGACATGTCCTGCTCACAGCATTGGGCTCTGGCAAGCATGGCAACGGCCTCTCCATGGGTGGACTGTATAATGACAGTCCTGACATGTGAGTATACCCTGTTTAAATACAGTGTTTGATACATTTATGTGGCTTATAGAAGTGCGTGGAGATCTTTGGCAAGTTGTGTAGCCCTCATCTCAGCATCTTCTAAGTCTGCCTCAAGAGCTTGTATTCTGAGAGCATGGTTGGAAACGAGGTCTTCTAGCCTCTGTTTCTCGACTTGTTGTCAAGTTTTCGATGCAGCGATGGGGAGTGCAGCTGATGCCGCATTGGCTTTCCGGCTTGCAGCAAGGCTTTTGATGTGCGCTTGTTGGGTGCTCGAGCAGCGTTTAGCCATCTAGAAAAAAATAAGTCAGTATATGCGGTGTACATTCTAAGTAAATCACAAATAACCACTGCTGATAGTGAAATATGGGCAGAAAGGAGCACTGTGTCGAACCCTTTAGTGCCGCGGCTGTGATGGCATATGACAGCTGACAGCTCGTGTCAAGTTGCGACCATGGCAGCCCAATTTCCCTTGATTACTGCCTCAGACAAGGGAAAAGACCCTCTCGCACCTTTTTGCTATCCTCATTCTCATTTTTTGGTGCAATGAGCCAATTGAAGCTCACCACCTCAGATTTTGATCAATCTTGTTTTGAGAACCAAAGATTCATTCATTTTTTCATCCAGCGCATTTTTAAGATTCTTTCCGAATTTTATTCTGACGAGGAAGTACAAGGCATGAGTTATGAAGATGGAGGTTGGTGCGAACTGTGTCCACGTCCTCTTCATGCCAGACATGGACGAGAACAAGCACTTTGAGCGTAAGGACGACAGTGAGCCGCATTATAACGCCGTGCTCTTCAGTGATGCTGCATTCAACAAGTACATCAAATTCATCAAGAATGAGGTCAGAGACCAGGGAATTAACACCAATTAGCGTGAGCAAGGTATTCAGCGGCTTGAGGGGAAGGACGCACTGGATGGCGCTGTCTAAAAATAGAATGTCATCCAGACACCCAACTGCCCATCCACCCTGTCCCGCCCTCCGTGAGTCACGCAAACACCTGAAATGGGTAAGAATACATGCTGACATTATATTACCAAAAAATGGGGCTGCCTGCTGTCCCCAATGATGAGCTAGAGCCCACTTACATTGCCAGGCATCTCAGAGAGGCATTCTCCTGTGTCGTACCTGATTCGGAAGGTTTCCCGTACCCTGTCCTGCCCCTCAACGACGACGAGCACCCTATTCAATGTCCCTGAGCATTGTTTGGTCATTGTTTAGTGTCCCCACAGGCTCGGCAGACTGTCCCAAGTCCCGGCAAACCCAGCAGCACATAGAAAATAGCCTGGCTGCCTACTGGCAGCTATGATTTATGAACGACAATTGTCAGTAGGCTAGTTTCATAGATAATTCTAGCCTACATGGCTGCCTCGGGGAGATGGACAGGACATTGGGTGCGTAGTGAGGTGTGATATGGCCTACCTTTCCACATGCTGACCTTGCTTCAAACTTGCCATTTCTTGCAGTTGGGAGACAACTTCAGCTTATGGTCATATCTCCAATACAGCATAGCCATAAGCCCTTCATTTCAGACTGGCTCACCTGCTCAGCTGATGTTGATGTTTCCTATCAGGGTATACTGCAGTTCCAGATATTCCAGATCCCTTTTGTTGGTGCGGACACGTGTGGCTTTGGTGCGCTCCGTGTTTCATCCGAAGTTATCTGATAATGGCTGTTTTCTGGATTAGATGGAAATACGGACGAGGAGCTCTGCAATCGGTGGATGCAGCTCTCTGCCTTCACGCCCTTTTACAGAAACCATAATATTAAGGGCACAATACCACAGGAGCCGTATCGCTGGGACAGTGTCACGAATGCATCACGTACTGCAATTTCTATTCGTTATTCCCTGCTGCCATACTGGGTGAGGGCGCTTTCTCTCCTCTTCGCACTCCGCACTCTGGGATTGATGATATTTGGTCGTTCTTTTTATTTTTAGTACACTCTGTTTGCGAACTCGTCCATGTATGGAACCCCTCCAGTTCGGGCGCTCTTCTTCGAGTTCCCCAGTGAGCCCGAACTGTTCGACGTCAATGTTGAGGTTATACAGTCAACTCGATGCGCGCCACCCACTCCTCCTTCTCTCTGTTTGTCCATGTATTCACATACCTGTATTTAAACTTCTTTTGCCCTTTTCTGTACCTCAGTTGTCCCTTCACACACTGAGGTATGGTACTTCTTCCTTTCTCTGTGACACTGTACTTATTCATTTTACCTAGCGCATTACGCTTCGTTTAGGTACTATTGACAATTAAGTTGTCCCTTCACACACTGAGCGCGTTACGCTTCATTTAGATTCCAACAGGTTATGAGCCCTGCTTGTTGAGACAAGCCCCACTGTCAACTCGTCTTGGTGAGCGTACCTTAGGCTTCTCATTCAAATCGCCCTTGGCGATCTCTCCCTCATCAAATCGCCCTTGGCGCCTCGCTCGCGTTCGCCATTGGCGGCGCTTCATATCGCTCTTGGCGACTCCATTCACATGCATACATCTATCTCCGGACATCCTCCACCATGTCTACCATCAAGTTAGATCACATCGAGCTTCTCACCGGCACGTCCAACTATGAGACCTGGAAGCGTGGAATCAGTCAGGTTCTTCAGGGCGAAGGATTCTGGGGACACGTTGAAGGCGATACCAGAATGTATGCGCCCTTTCCGCAATCCCTCGAACCAACCACATGTGATGCGTCTTCGACCCCTGCACAGATCACAGCTTATCAGGAGTGGTGGCAAAAGGATTCCAAAGCTCGAACAATTGTCGAGAGGCGAATCACACCGCTCATCCTCAACCTTCTCCCGCAGGGCGTCTCTGTCACCGCCCGCACCATCTGGACAAGCATTGCCGCCCTATATGCGCATACAGATGTCCTCGCTCAATTTGAACTACGTGACAAACTCAGCACGATGAAGCTTAAAGATCATCGGGATCTGGAACAGTATCTGGGCGAATTCAAGGTCAGCCGTGTCAGGCTCGCTCAGATGGGCGTCGCCATCTCCAAACTCAAGCTTGTCCACACCGTTATACGTGGGCTTCCTCTGGGTGGAACCTGGGGAAATTTCAGACAGCTTATGAGTCAGCTGATACAGGATCATGTCGACACACAGGCCAGTTTCTCAATTGCGCCTGCTGCCCCGGATGCCCTCCTCGATCGGATCATGTCTCATCTCACCATTGAATGTCAACGCCTCGACTTCAAAAAGGTTGGGAAAGCTGGGCCGGGATCCGAATTTGCCAACTTTGCAGGGAATGCGACCAACACTGGCATCAGGAAGCACCCAAACAACCCCAACAGCGTCGTTTGCAGCAACTGCAATATGAGATCGCATGACAAGGAACACTGCTTTGCAAAAGGTGGCGGCATGGAGGGCCTTGGCCCAAAGGGGCGAGCTGCCTCTGCTGCTGCCCCTCCCGTCGCAAAGGCGCCTACACCCATCAAATCCGACGTTGTGGCATTTGCTTCCGTCCCATCTGCCTCCGTCTCACCTGCCCCTGCGGAGTCCATGTGCTTCATCGGAGATCTCTCGTGCGTCTATTGACTCGGATGCCCCTTCCCTTGCAGACCTCGCTCTTTTTGTTGAGCATAATTGGACGACGCTCCTCGACAGCGGTGCCTCATCTCACCTCATCCGCGCCCGAGAACTTTTTTGGAGCTACCGCCCTGACAAAGCACGCAATGTGAAAACGGCGAACCATGGGACTCTCCATACGCGGGCGGCGGGCGACTGCCTAGCACGTCTCACGTTCAATGCAAAGTCGACTGTGCTGAAGCTCCGTGACTGCCTCCATGCCCCAGACACCTGTGTTAACTTGCTGTCTGTCGGCCGCTTTGTCTCCAAAGGCATTGGCTGCTTCTTTGCTGACAAAAAAGTGGTCATTTCGAAAGGGGGCATGGAATACACATACCTATCGGAGGTCGCAATCAGTGTACGAACATCCTTAATCCCGAGGCATGAACCACAGAGATCCATACGAATGAGACCGGCGCTTCTCAAGCGTTACCACCACACCCTGGACCGGCACTCAGTCAGGGCCCCATGGTTGGGAACATCTTTGTCATCGATGTCGAATTTCTCCGGCCTCCCACACCTGTCAGCGACGGGATTCCCAAACCCATGCCTGACGTGGCTTGCTTCAGCCCCATCGCTGTCACCTTGGACCTCTGGCATCACCGCCTCGGTCATGCAGGCGAGGGGGCAACGCGGAGTCTCCTCAAATCCACTACCAGCGTCTCGTTCTCACCCACCAATGCCCTCTCCAAATGCGAACCATGTATCATCGGAAAGCACGCTCGATCTCCAGCACCGTCATCTGTTGGCCCCAAAACCACGAAGCTCCTTGAGCTAATTCACTGCGACCTATGCGGCCCCTTCCCTGTTGAAACTCCACACGGAAAGCGATACTTCATCATATTCCTTGATGATTTCTCAAACATTGTCAATGTTCAGCTTCTCGCGACTAAGGATCAAGCATTCGATGCATGGTTACTGGTTCAGGTGAAGTGGGAGAACAAGTTGGGTTTGAAGGTTGGGCGATTCCGGTGCGATGGGGGCGGAGAGCTAGAGGGAAAGGATCAGAAGTTTGTCCAGCAGCTGCAGGAGAGGGGGATCGAGCGTGACATCACACCACCATATGAGCACTGGAAGAATGGGAAGGCCGAACACGTCATTTGCACCCTACAGGGACGTGTCCTTGCCATGCTGACCGCCGCGCAGCTCTCGATGACCTACTGGGGCGAGGCAGCACTCACCACCGGCTACCTTCACAACCTCACCATCACTTCCACTCTTCCCTCTGGCGTTACGCCCTTCGAGATGTTCCATGGGCGTTGACCCAACGTCAGTCATCTCCGTGTCTGGGGTGTTCGATGCTTTGCTCAAGTCCCTGCCGAGATGCAGAAGAAGCTGGGACCCAAGTCGAGGGAATGCCTGTTCATGGGCTACCCACCTTCACAACGAGGGTATCATATTCAGGACCTACAAACTCATCATTTCTTCTCCTCAGGCAGTGTCATTTTTGACGAGAACATCCCGTATCACGCTCTGCACGAAGTTCCCTCAACGCCGATGGACTACTCCTCCCTCCCTTTCCCTTCTTCCGTCCTGGACAATATTGCTTCCCCGCCTGAATGTGAACATAACCCGGACAATGCACCACAACCATCCACGCCCATAGCTCCCTCTCTTCCTGCCCCTGTGCCCCCACCCACACCTACTCACTCTTCTGTCTCGGACCGGCCAGTGCATGTGCGGACGTTAACAAAGGTGGGAAAGGCATACGCAGATCAAATGGAGGCTGCCCGTGTTCACCTGCTTAAAGTCCGAGAGGCAGCTTCTGCATGGAGGGATGAGAGGATTCAAGTGGAGCGGGAGGCTGACGGGCTGCGGGAGGCAGGGCCAGGGGATGATGTTGACAGCGACTTCACATGCCTTTGTCGTGACGGCCTCTTTGACACGCCACTGTTGGAGTCTGACACTGTCACCGCTGCATCTCTGGACGTCGAAGACTATCTTCAGCGTGACATCGACGCACGTTATGAGGCCGTCTTCCTCTCCATTTGCAGCGACGTTCGCCGTGACCCTCGTGTGGCCTCCTATGACATGTCGATTCCTCCTGCAAATCACTGTGAGGCTATGTTACGTCCTGATGCAGACGAGTGGCGGCAGGTTGAGCAGAAGGAGCTGGACATGCTGAAGTCCATGGGGGTCTATGTGGAGGAAATGCTGCCAGAGGGCCGCAAAGCGATTGGTTGCCGCTGGGTCCACGAATTCAAGGTTGGTGAGGGGGGTGACAAAATCTACAAGGCTCAATGCGTTGCCCAGGGATTCTTGCAGGTCCCATTTGTCAACTACGACGCCACTTTTGCCCCAGTCGCCAAAGCTGTCAGCATCAGGTTCGTAGCCGTGTACTCTGCACTGCTGGGGTGGGACCTTGAATGTTTCGATGCCACCTGGGCTTTCCTCTGGGGCGACCTGTCGCGTCTCATCTTCATGCGCTGCCCTGACAGCTACATCCCCTCCATTGCCGGCGCTGTGTGGCGGCTCCTCAAATCCCTCTATGGTCTCAAGCAAGCGAGCCTGATCTGGTACAAACTCCTCTGGAAGGTCCTCGAAGCTCTCGGTTTTGTCCGCTCAGAGTTTGACCACGCCCTGTTTGTGTTCAAGAGGGTCTGGTCCAACACCGACGTTCACTGTCTCCTTGCCATGCATGTTGATGATGGATTGTCTGGCTGCAACTTCACCCCCTTCCTGACCTTCATAAAAGGGGAGGTCGGCAAGGCTTTTGGCATCAAGGACCTTGGGCCTGTCACCATGTTTCTTGGTGTGCAGTTCGAGCGCGACCTTCAGACGTGTGAGCTCTGGATCCACCAAGAGGCATACACGGATGTGCTTCTTGCCGAATATGGCCTCACCGACTGCAACCCGGTCTCTACGCCTCTCGACCCTGTTCATCCGCTGGGTCGCGAATCGGACGTCCCTCTTGATGTGCCTGACCTGGTGCATTCATATCAACGCCTCGTTGGATCCCTCCTTTTCCTCCAATCCTGCTCACGGCCCGACATATCCTTTGCTGTCCTCCTCCTCTCTCAGCACTGCTCGTCCCTGCTACCGCGTCACTTTGCTGCTGCCCGACGTGTCCTGCGCTACCTCAAGGGCACTCGCACCCACCGCCTCCATTATGGTGGGGCTCAGCAGGCCGTGCCAATTGCGGGCCTCTCCGATGCGGACTGGGCGGGGGAAAAAGGAACCAACCGTGCTTCCACGTCGGGCTTTGTATGGTCCCTCGCTGGCAGCCCCATCAGCTGGTCTGCGAAGAAGCAAACCTGCATTGCCCTCTCCACCACGGAAGCTGAGTACATTGCGCTCACCCGGGCAGTCCAAGAAGGCATCTGGATCCGGCAGTCACTCCTCGCTCTCCACCTCCACTGCCCAAGCCCTCTCGTTATCGCCACCGACAATCACGGTGCCCGATCGCTCTCAGAGAACGACTCGGATCACAGCCGGGCTAAGCACATCGACATTCGCTACCATTTCATTCGCTCTCACGTCGACAACCAGTCATTCACCATCGCGTTCACCCCCGGCGCCATTAACACTGCGGACATCTTCACCAAACCCCTCTCCCGTGTCATTTTTCAATCTCATGTCGAACGCCTTGGTCTCGCACCTCGTTGAGGGGGCGTGTTGAGGTTATACAGTCAACTCGATGCGCGCCACCCACTCCTCCTTCTCTCTGTTTGTCCATGTATTCACATACCTGTATTTAAACTTCTTTTGCCCTTTTCTGTACCTCAGTTGTCCCTTCACACACTGAGGTATGGTACTTCTTCCTTTCTCTGTGACACTGTACTTATTCATTTTACCTAGCGCATTACGCTTCGTTTAGGTACTATTGACAATTAAGTTGTCCCTTCACACACTGAGCGCGTTACGCTTCGTTTAGATTCCAACAGTCGATACTCAGTTCTTGATTGGAGCTGCTATCCTGGTTACCCCTGTGTTGGAACCGAACGTATCCACCGTGTCAGGTCTGTCATTTTGGCTAGAGCGACTTTAGAGTCCGTCTGGCATCAGGGACAAACAAGGGACAAATATCACGCTTCGACCACGGGCCATGCCGATCCCCACATGACAGTCGCGCTCTGTCACACAAATCTGACTCGGACTCAACTAGATCTCTTCACTCTGCTTGCTCAAGCGCTCAAGCTCAAGCTCTGACCCCCATCTACATCTGCCATGCCGTCTAATCTTTCTGAATTTAAGCAAGTTGATCTTCGTATACGAACCCTCACAGCGATCTTGCAATCCATGCACCAAGCAGAACCTGCACAGAGCACTCGGCGAGATGTCCCTCCTCTTTTGCGCCACATGGCAACTCTTCTCACTTGTGGGAGCAACAAGGACCCCAAGGCTGCACAGGTTGTTGCTATCGCCGGAGTTGTTGAAGAAAGAAGCATCAAAGCCTTGGTGGTGACCCAAAATGCGGCAGCAAAGGAGTCAACACCATTCTCGTTGAAGGGCCACCAGATTGTGAAATCGAATGAATCGTTCGACGCGATAATTTCAGGGTGCGTGCCGCCGCCGCTCTTTCCCGGATAATATGTTCATTTTCTTGTTGTTAGCCCGGCCAGTGTTCCCCTCGAACGACACATTGTCGACCTCCTGGCTCTCTTACCATCCTGCAATCTGAACGATGAGGTCCAGGTCGAGAGTCTCATGACATTCGTCACTATGCGGAGCATCCGCAAACTCCACGCGCGCTTGACATCTGATGAAAAGATATGGAATATCCGGGTCGCCCAGATTCTGACAGATTGGAAGCCTGCCGAAGGCGACTACCCTTTCGAACCTTTCTGGGTGAGCAAACCTGTATGGCCTGTCAACATCGACAGGATGCGATCCATGATGGAGAAAAGAGGCGAGGGCGACTCGGAGGAATGGCTTTTCTCGATGAAGTCTATTGGGATATGGGCCAACACCCTCGGGACTATGTTGTCCGTCCTTGAATCCTACATCAAGGAGTATAAAGGCTTTCCTCAGGACCTTCGGGAGAAACCAATGAAAGCGTCGAAAAGGCAGCTGAAGAAGGACGTTCAAGAGAAACTGGGGGAAATTAACGCCATCGTCTTTTCATTGTACCGCTTCCTGACCAAACATGTGCTAATTGTGAAGAAAATCCTAGCCCAGAAATCCCTTGAGGCCATGTTTCTGCATCAAAGTAAGTACTAAGGGGCGTTACAATGCTTGAACCTGAGACTGAAGCCACTATGAAACTAGAAGTTGACGTCCTCGATGGCCAGCCGACGGGAGACCTTGACGAGCCGGAGGGAGATCCTGACGAGCCGGCGAGAGACCTTGACGTGGCAGACGAAATGGACGGTGAGCTCACGCGTTTGACCTACTAAATAATTCTGAGCTGTGCTCTGGCTTATAGATGAGCACCTAGAGCTAACGCCCGAGGGCCAGGAAACCGAAGGTAATCGTGTTTATAGGTACCTTCAGACAATAGCTGCGTGGCAGGCGGCCATAGAAATCCTGCTCCAGCCGAAGTATCGGGCTGTCCTAGCTAGCATCTCTGTTGGCTTGGTTGAAGTTTCCGGAAGGGAAACAGGCTTGATGAACCGCGACGAGTTTGCTGCAGCATTCCTCGCAAGAGCCACTGCGACATCCGATGACGAAGTCGAAATACGCGGCATCCTTACATCGTTTACTCCCACCCAGTTTGGCGGCACCATTCACGCCGAGGCGAGTTTGATGGGTCTTCTCGCCTACTTCTCGCACCCGGACACCACCACCGGCAAATACATCGATGACATGGATGCTGATGCATTAAAGACACTCTTCGAGCCAGTGCGCCCTTTCCGTCCCCTCAAATTCTTGCTAAATTTCACTAATAGTATGGCGCCATGCCAGGTGCTTGCAATGGCTACTACGCCAACTATTGGTGTAGGCAAGAAGTGTTGCTGGTGCTGCTACAAGCTTGCTCAGCTCCTGAAGGCACGCCAACAAGAAATATTACTTCCTGGCACGCATGGGGTCTTGTACGCCTGGTGCCCACCTCGCGTTGGAGTTGACATACAGGTACTCAAAATAATGGAGAAGGAATTATGGGAGAAACTGGAGAGGGTGGTAGCTCACAGACTTGCCCAGAGATCCTTTGTGAAAACACACTCTCGTCAGAGTTCAGGTACGGTTGTGGAAGTCAGCTTGAAACAGTCGAAACCCAAACGTGTCTACTTCTAGGAGAATTGCAAATGCTGCCTGCTCGTGCCTGCTTCTACGAATTGTCTCGTACCAAGACCGTGAAATCGTCCACTCGTGGACTCACGTTGTGAGAGGGTGCTTATGCGAGCCTACTTCTACGAAGAGGAAATTGTCACGACTGTCCCTCAGCACAGTCTATCGGAGTCCCATATCTGGGTATATACACGGTAGCACCCTCACTCATGTACTCTATCCCCGTTATCTCGTATCCTCGTCTCTCGATTCCCTCCTTCGGGTCCCACCCTCACAGAAATTGACTTAGCATTTAATCCAAGTATGTTGCATGGTCCGCATTCCTGAAAACCCCACTGCCATGTTAACCGTTTCAATTTGATTAGGAAAACTAGAAATGCCACTGGCTTGCGTATGTTGGTTTCATGGAGAGGGACTTGAGAGAGCCGGCTATAAAAGCGTGAAATGAGGTGTGCATGATGTGATTATATAAGTCGACGCTGTTTGCGCCACTTTAACAAGAACGTTCTCCTCTCGTTTCCCCAGCGTTGTGGGTCGATGACTTTCGCGTTTTTCTGCAATTTCCACCCTTCATGATGACGAGGACGGTAGGGCGTTGCCAGACTTCACTTCAGACGCGGCAAATAATGTGGAACCTCCCAAGTCGCGTTCGGTCCTGTCGCCAATTCACCCTTATTCCAAACTTTTACGCCCCAGGCCACAAACCTCCCTCGATCGGTGCGAACGCAAGCCCAAACCCTCTTCGAACACTTCAGCCTCCTTGGTACAAATATCAGGTCATCGAGGCGCAACTCCATCGCCCCAGAAGTAATCTATGCATAGCTATGCATCCCGAGGATGCTAAAAGAGAAGACAATGTAAAGATTGGTCAAAACAGGTACTATCTCTATCGTGCCTCCTTGAATATGTCTAGTCTGAATCCCACTTTTTCTAGATTAGAGCCATCCCGGCCATGGCTCCTTTTCTGCGCCACCCTCTTCGGATGGGGTCATAGCATTGCAGTCTGTTTCCGCCTGACACCCACCCCCCATCGACATGGCTACCCGCGAGTCATGCCGCCTACCCTTTCTCCATCTCCAATGTGCCTCCTCGCCTCATACGTTCACTCGACTGAGTCAAGAAACTCTTCCTCTTCCTGATCTCGGCCCTTCCAACCTCATGGATACCCTACAGGCTGCATGGTGGAGTAATTTAGGGCTTGGGGACCGATTCAATCTAATGAAGAGATAGGAAGAGATGTGATGACGAACAAGAGGAACAAGAAGGATCGACAGGGCAGGCACTTCAATGAATTCGCGGGTCCTTCTAGCTTGGCCACGAGGAGTTCAAACGGCGGCATTCACCTGCCTCCCAAGCTCTTCAAGTGCGAACGACTGAGGAAGAGACAACGGAAGATAGGCCAGAGAAGAAGGTTAAGCAGCAGCAGCTTACGGTTGATTTGACGATGTCGGATGAAGACTGCCTCCAGAAAGCGAAGGACATGCTTCTCCTCTCCAAGCAAGCAATACCGCTTCCAGCACCAACGCCTTCACTACTATCCGTAAAGAAGAAACCCGCTCGACTGGTCTCATGTCTGACATCGGGCATAGTTCCACCCAACTCCTTCTCAGGTGCTGGTCTTCAGCACTCGCTTCTTCTGAAGGGCGTGTGGTGAGGAGAATATTGACTGCTCTCTGATAGCGTACAACTGCAGTTCTTTGGGATGAATGTCCTCTCCCAACCAACCCTGGTTGACTTTACATGGTATCCAATCACCGTCGCCATAGTCTCTGTCTCCACTGCCCAACCAAATGAACGCCAGAAATACCCAACACGAATGCGTCATCTTTCACAGCCATTTATCAGGGTACATGCCTGTTTACCGCCTTCGGTCATCGCCCCCACCTAATACTCACCCCATTTAGACTGCATTCCCATGTCCTCTTTTCTTGATAAGGATGCAGGTTGATCTCCTTTAACCCTGCACCTTCTGCGATCCAATGCCCTTCCCACTCATCGACCCCTCATCCTCGATCTAATCTCAACCTTGACCAATACCGCTACGGTTGATGTTCTCGAATAGCCACAATGTCTTGATCCACGGTAGTGTATTCAACCAAACCGGTGCAACGATCCACCATCATCAATGGCTCCCGCGTGACGGTGTGTTATCCCTGGTGTCTAAAGGACCTTACTGAGACTATATCTGCAGGGTTTGACATATTACATGGCCGAATAGTATCAACCGCATTTCACAACTCCAGCGAACAATTTGATGCTCCGAAATGTCACCCTAACACACGCGCTTCCGTTCTCGAAACCATAATGGAATGGGTCACACAACACCAAGTTGTTCGGCTGAAACCCTTGTTGTGGCTCTATGGCGCAGCTGGAGCCGGCAAGTCCGCGATTTGTCGAACAATCGCAGAGAGGTGCTACGGGGAAGGATTACTGGTTGCCACCTTCTTCTCGAGGACATCATTAGAACACAACAGCGTTGAAGGATTACTGGCGACTCTGGCGTACCAACTGGCCCTATCTATACCCTCGACACGAGATCATGTGCAGAAGGCTGTTGAGAACGATCCATCCATCTTCGAGCGCGATCTTGACGAACAGTTTGAGAAATTGATTGCACAACCTGTGCTTCTTTCTCTCTCGCCTCAAGTGCTGCCCAAGTTACCCCCAAAGCTTATCATCATCGATGGTCTGGTCAGGGCGCAATGCAACACTATATCTTCACGACGATTATTTCCACGCTGTCGCGGCACAATCTTCCTCTCATCTTCCTCATTTCCAGCCGGTCCGAATTCCAGATTCTTACGGCCTTCAATTCACCTGAAATCGATGCCCAACCGGTTCGGATTCCATTGGACAACCTTGCCTATCAATCTGAGGCAGATATAAGACTTTTTCTTTTGGACAAGTTCGCTGCCATTCGTAACACTCACCCTCTATCTGCTTTCATTCCATCTACGTGGCCATCTGCTCAAGTTATAGACCAATTAGTGCTCAAGTCATCTGGCCAATTCATCTATGTGTCGACTGTCATGAAGTATGTCGAGTCGCCACAGCACAGGCCGCTCGAGCGATTGCAGGTCGTGCTTGGGGCATCGAAATTCATCTTCGACTCGGCGGCCCCATTTGCAGAACTCGACAGCCTCTACCTTCATATTCTCAGCTCTGTGCAGAATGCTGCCCTCACAAAGCGCATATTGGGTGTGCTTACGATTGGGGAGTTCCCATCCATGGAAGACGGAGTGGGCCTTCTCGTAGGAAGCAACCAGGACAAGCTTCGAAGCCTGCAACTTCTATGTGACCTGCTATTCATCGGCCAGGAAGATCTGTATCTCGTGTTGAATGAGCTCCGGTCTTTGATCTCAGTGCAGCACGAAGCTGAGTTTTCCCAGATATCTGTCCTCCATGCATCTCTGTGCGACTTCCTCTCTGACCCTTTTCAATCCGGCAACTTGCACATCAAGGCAAGCGAGGTCCATACTGAACTTGCGCTTGCATGCATACATATTTTCACTAATGTCGGGAATGGGGTCGGCCAGTGCCATTCGCTCGCCACGTCCAATTACGCGAGAAGGAACATTTTTTTGCACTGTCGTTTTGGTGATCCTACTGATCATCTTTTGTTTCACCTACGACAATTCGACCTCCCTACATGGCTCAGTCAAGTTTCGAGTGATGAGATATCTGGAATCTACACCACCCTCTTGGACTATCTCTCCTGGTTGAAATCTTTGGTGAGTGACAGAGGATCTTGCAATTGATTTCCCATAGTGATGACCACCCCTCTGTGCAGAGATTTGAAGGACTCTCAGAAACTTTATATACTCAGCATCTACGAGCAGTGGACCAATCCTTGAATACGATTGCGGACAAGGTACCCCCTGGAGGAGAATTATTTGAGTTACTTGCATGCTGGGTTGTGGGTCTCGATATGAACCAACCCTCCATCCTGCCATTCTCTTCTCTCTGGAAATCTCTAGTCGACTTCAAGGCAGGTTATGATGTCTCCCAATTCGGTGCTGTCGACGTCGCTTTCTGGCATGTAACGGGGTTTGGCAACATTGCACGCGATTGGTTTGGTTGCCCGGATCGTGCTGGTAAACGTTGGGGCAGTACCGAGGTATATGCGCGAGCATCGCTCCAGGTGATTCGCTCTTTGTACCAGTGAGTATCAAAATAAATCCTTATTGCCTCTTTCGCTAATTTGCCTATCCGTTGTTCCTTAGCACTCGCCAAAATACGGAGAATTTCAGCCTGGATGCCTCCATGGAGGTTTGGTTTCTGTTCAAGATCCTTCCCGGCCTGTTAGAAAAAGTGTCTTGTTCGCAAGAGTTAGTGGCCAATCTTCAGGAACAACGGTCTTTTTCGCGGTGGATTGAACAGCGGTTTTCGAACACTCCGCACTACATTGCCACGATTCGAGCACTAGGTTCTTACTGTCGGCAGCAGGTAAGATTTTTTGTTTGAATCATGCGGCGTATCTGACTTTGACTATAGGAAGTTGAGATGATTGAGGCTGAATGAAGACTGGAGGGTTGCTTCAAGCACCGATTATCAGCAAGAAATCCCTGCAGCTGCAGCTGGCGACGGCATTGTCGGAAATTCAATCTGAGTGTTATGATGTGAAAGAAGTGATGGCAGAGTTCCAACGAGTCATGATGCCAGTTGTGCTGTAATGACCTAGAATAACAGATGTGTTCAGCAGGGGATTTGCCCTTGTTTTAAGGCATCATCATGGAGATCTCCCTTGTCAGAACAGGCACCCAAGTGTTTTCGGCATCATGGACATTGTGATGCGTAACCTGCCACTTTAGGTTTTTCTGACAATATGATAACTTCAGCAGATGGTGACATACACTACTGTGGGAACTGGATTTATGGGCAGCCAAAAAGGCATTGGCAGCTGCACAAGCATTATGACTAATTTCTTGAGGGTCCATAAATAAATAATAAAAAGTACCTTTTTGTGCACAGAAAATGAATGGAAACAGAAATTTTGTCAAAGCTTCCATGTTGACATAATTGACAGATTCATGGCTGATATGTGCCCACCGTAAAAGGGACAAGAAGCTTACAGTTATGGTATATTTTTGGAAGAACAAGAAATTTGGTTTTTTGTGGTTACATAAAGAACAATAAAAAGTAACAATTAGCATGGTCAAATGTTTCCCATAAAGTGTCTCAGGGATACTAAATTTGGGAAGCCCGAGGCACTTTATGGGAAACATTTGACCATGCTAATTGTTACTTTTTATTGTTCTTTATGTAACCACAAAAAACCATATTTCTTGTTCTTCCAAAAATATACCATAAGTGTAAGCTTCTTGTCCCTTTTATGGTGGGCACATATCAGCCATGAATCTGTCAATTATGTCACATCAGCAAATCCTGATTTTGAGGGCCAAAATGGCCTCAATTTTAGCATTACAGCATGTTATGGCGTGTTATGTAGCACTACGTAACGCGACATAGCACTGTAATGCATCTTCTTATCTATTGAAATAACCCCCCAATTACAGAGTGCTACATACCCTCGTATAGCACTCATAACGCAATCAGGAATTGCTGATGCAACATGAAAGCTTTGACAAAATTTTCTGTTTCCATTCATTTTCTGTGCACAAAAAGGTACTTTTTATTATTTATTTATGGACCCTTAAGAAATTAGTCATAATGCTTGTGCAGCTGCCAATGCCTTTTTGGCTACCCATAAATCCAGTTCCCACAGTAGTGATAGTAAAGGAGGAAGCTTCTACCGGCAATGTTTGTTTCCGGATCATTGGCCTAAGCTTTGTCCAAACAGCGCTCAGCCATGTTGGGGGTATTGGAGGTGTATACTAGAGTCTCAGGTGATGACTAGGTCAACAAGCCACTAAATGTTGTATTCAAACAAAATTCTATCATGTGAACATGCACTGTGTGTGGAGCAAGCACAATACTGCTTCAACTACCAATCTAATCCGATAGTTGTGCTGGGTGAAAAAAGAAAGAAAAGGAAAGAAAAAATGGAGATCTTGCGTGCCCCTCAAAAACCCCTTCACTCACAAGGGCATCATCCCAATGCTCCAGATTGGAATTTTTTCTCCTGTGTGCTTCGAGTCAGGCAGTAGTTGTGCAGAATCAACCAGAAGAGAAAGATTTTTGATCATTGCACATGAGGAATGAGGCAACCTCTATGCCGCAGAAGGGACATCTATATGGATTCTGTCAGGAGGAGACTATCAGCTTCGGGAGTTTATGATACTTACCTGCACAATGACCAGTGAATTTATCGACTCTGTACTAACTTAGGGTTTCTGTTCACACCAGCAGTCAATGTTACGGACACCGTCAGTCTTGGCAGACCACGCATCATACCCCCATAGTTAGGCTATGACACACAACCCACTTGTGGTGTCGGTATTGCGATCAACGGCATAGCCTTCCCCTGCTGAAGTCCATATGGCTTGTCTGGTGTCACTGACAACGAATAAGTCCATAGTAGCTGTAACCGCTTGTAGTCGAACACCCGGAGGCTATTGTATGAGGGCCGTCCACTACAAGGAGCTTAGACGCTAAGCGACGCTGAACTATGCCACATCGTAGTCCAAGGTTCAGGCATCCACTGAGTTGAACAAAGCGGATGTCGTTCATACAAGGTGAGAAGCCGAGTTGAGTTTACTGTTTGAGAGCAATAGGAAAACAGTAAGACAGTAGATTAAAGCTGAACTATTACAACGAGTAGTTACGAGCTTAAATACTACCAAAATACAAATAAGTACAATGCACCATCAATGCATAAGTAATACAACTAGTAATAGTCCGTATCGGGTGACTAATCTAGTAGTCTGTATAAGTCAAGCATATGTAATCAAGCATATTACTAAGAAAAGAGAAAAAGAAATGAAAATGCCATATTACATAATTGAGCCATAACAGTAGCTCCTCTTCAAGATCAATGTCCGCAGCGATATAAGTACAGAAAGAAAATCATAGCAAAAGAAAGAGGGGCATAGGGGAGAGTGTTCATTCAAAATTGTAACTCACTAATAATCGCCATAACCATTGCCTTCATTGACAAGGTCGTAAATTCCGTCATCCCAATCAAGCTCGTGGTCAAGACTGTCATCAAAGTCATTGTCGCATCGAGGGCACCAAGGGGTGGTGTGTCCAGGTGTGGCGGTGTTGCAGGACTGGCAGATGTACTGCGCACAGTCACACGACCAGTGATAGAAGGATTCATCACCACAAGTGTGGCAGATGTCCTTATGTTGGGCGGTGAGTTGAAGACGCCAGGCACAAGCCGTGATGGAGAGGTATGCAGGAAGAGGGCGTGTCGTGGGGGTGTTGGCTGGGGTGACAGTCGATGACGTCGAGGGTGTTGCAGTCGACATGGAGGTGGTGGCGGTGGCGGTCGACAAAAGTGTGGAAGACGAGGTCAATGGTGAGAAGGCAGCAGCAATGTTGTCCATGGTTGACGAGGTCGTCATCATAGTCATTGTGGTTGTTGGCGGTGGTGGTGGAAGTGAGTCGGCAGCAGGTGGGTTCCAGTTGGGAACGGGGCAGAGTGCTTGGTATGTTGTACCAAGATATCCGTCAATGTAGTTGACGACAGTTTGGTCATCGTAGTCATTGGTGAGCTTGCGCACAATTCCTTGTGCAATGGCGAGGTTGAAGGCTTCAATGACGTGGAAGGCGGCAAATTCGGTGTTGTTGGGTTGCCATGAGAGAAGGTTGAGGCGAAGGTGGCAGATCTTCTGGAAGTTGATCGAGGCGGTAGTGAACTCCTTGATCATATCTTCATAGTGTGGACGTCAGGGTTCCATTGCCAGTAAGCTGCGAACGTATGTTCGAAGCTTTCTTCATCCTCTGTGTGTCTCATAAGGAGGGGGACACGAGAGTCGCGGTCGATGCAGGCAGAGAATCCAGGGATGTTGCACCACTGCTTCTTGAAGTTGCCTTTGGGGAGTTGTCCCCACATGGCTCCAGACTGGTTCCACAAGGACGTCATTGATGTTCAATGTCCTCGTCGGTCTGTTTGAATGCTCGAATTCAGGCTCGATGCGTCCGAGCGAGTATGCCTGTTGTGCACACGAGTGCCAGCATCGGCGGAGCGGTTGGCAGTGGCGGTTGAAGTGCTAGTGGTGGTGGTCATGTTGGAAGAGGTGGCAGGGGGATTCCGTGCCATGTTACTTGAACTGGACTGGGCAGTGGCGTTGGTGGTTGCGGCAGGTCCAGTTCGTCGTCTGAGCTGAGGGATGGGCATGAGGCGTGAGTGTTGGACATTGGTGTGGAGGTTGAGCTGCATAGGCTTGCATGTGGTAGAGCCATTGGAGGCTGAGGACGAAAGAGAGGTCGGGACCAGGATGCCAAGCGTTCGACCTGGTCCAGGAAAAACACTACTGGAGGAGGTTGAGGAAGCAGGGGCAGAGGAGGGTCGTTGGGCAGGCATGTTGACAGTTTGGGCAGTTGGCGAATCGTCATCAGAGGGTATTGATGAGGAGGTTGGGGATCCAGAGTTGAAAAGGATCCAAGTCTCATATACAACAAATCGAACCTTTTTCGGTTCAGCCAATCGTTCTTGCCATGTCGCCATTGTTCGTCAGAAAGGTATCGTGAGTCAGAGATATCAAAAGGAGATGGGGATCCACAAAAGCAAGAGAACATCGTTATATCTCTTAAATGATGGAATGGAGAGAAGAGTTAAAGAAGCTTGTGCTTTTGTTGATAGTCGCAAAGCAATTTTCGTGTGTGAGTAAATTGCAAAGCGGTTTCCCATGTGTTCTCTCCATGTGGATAGCCTTTCCATTTGACGTAGTACTCAATTGGTTTCTTTCCTTGGTGTTTGAGTATTGCCTCGGGTTCGTATTCTTCCTCTTTGTCCATAATGTCAGGTGGGGGACGAGGGTGAGCTGGTCTGTGTTCTTCCGTTTCTTTGAAGCGTGATAGAAGGGATGCATGGAACACATTATGAATCTTCTATTGGGGTGGAAGTTTCAATCGATAAGTCACAGGTCCAAGTACTTCTGTAATCTTGAAAGGTACGGTCTTCTTTGGAGACAGTTTTCTCGAAGTCCAAAGCATTTTTAGATACTTGGTTGACAAGAAAACTTGATCACCTTTCTTGAAAGGGGTAAATTTGCTCTTGATCCTGGAGCTAATACGGTCCTTGGCTAGGATGTGCGCTTCTACTGCTTCCTTCCTCATTGTTGCCAGCATGCGAAGTCATTCTTCAACGTCTCCAAACTTTGTAGCTTTGAATGCTTGAGGGATGAAAGGTGGAGAAATGCCAAACATGAGTTCGAATGGGGTGTGTTTGCAGTCAGAATGTCTTCTGTCATTGTGCACAAACTCCGCGATAGGGAGAAAGTTACTCCACGTATCAGGGTGTTCTAGACAAAAGATGGCGAGGAAACATTCGATTTCTTGATTGTAGCGCTCTGTAGTTCCATCGGTAATAGGGTGGTAAGCCGATGAAAGCGCTATTTTGGTGCCAAGAAGTCACCAAAGTTCCTTGTATGAGTTGACTGCCATTCAAACATCACGATCGGAAATGATTTTTGTTGGTACTCCAAAGCGTTTGATTACATTGTCAATCAAAAGTTGAGTGATGTCAGCGGATTTGAGACCTTTCTTTGTTGTCAGAATAAGGACTACCCCCTTCATAAGACCGTGGTCCACCACGGATAAGATAGTATCAAATCCATTAGACGGTGGTAGATCAGTGAGGAAGTCCATTGAAAGTTGTGCAAATGGTCGAAGTTCCTTTGATCCTTCAATAGGAACCAATGAAGGTTTCGAGGGGTGCCTGTCAATCTTGAATTCTTGACAAGTTGCGCAACCTTTAACATAATTCTGAACAAAGGTTCTGAGTCCAGGCCACCAATAGTTAGCTTGAACTTTATTGAAAGTCTTGAGTTCACCTGGATGTCCTGCTAGAACTGAGTCGTGATGTCTTTGAACAATGTCACGTCGGAGATTGTGACTTTTAGGGATATACACTTTTCCTTGGTAAAAGAGAAGCAGTTTGTTGTTGAGATATTCCACTGTCCAGTTGTTGGAGATAGCTATCAGCACGGTAGAACTTTTAAGCCATGTAAGAGCGTCAGCTGCATCTTCATTGTAATCTTCGGATTCGACTATAGCTTTTTGAAGTTCTGTGTCGATGACGTTAACAAATAAGTCATCTGAGAGCATGGTGATGTTTTCATTATCATGGTCTTCATCTGGACAAAGGTCGGGGCATCGTGAAAGTGTATTGGATTGAATCATTTTGTTGCCAGGGATGTGTACAAGTTTAAGATCATATTCTGAAAGTTGAAGGTGCCAACGAGCTTGTTGACGATTCAAGTTTCGAGGTTGTTACCAATAAGTCAAGTTTTTGTGATCAGAATAAATTGTAGTTGTATGGGGTGATCCCTGAATATAGTGTCGCCACTCTTCTAGAGCGCAAATGATAGCTAGAAGCTCACGATCATAGATTTTGTAGTTGCGTTCGGTTGCAGAAAATGATTTGGAAAGGAATGCAATAGGGTGCTTTCTCCCATCAGGATCGTCTTGAAGTAAAACAGCACCTGATGCGTACTTTGAAGTGTCTGATTCAATAGCAAAAGGTTTGGTTGGGTCTGGAATAAGGAGAATTGGTTCTTCTGTGAAGCGTCTTTTAAGCTCTTCAAAAGCTTGCTGTGTTTCCAAATTCCATTCAAATTTGACATCTTTTCGCATGAGGTCGTTTAGGGGTTGAGTTACTTCTGAGTATTTTTGGATGAAGCATTGATAGAAGTTTCCAAATCCTATGAAAGATCAGACTTGCTTAAGTGTTGTTGGTATTGGCCAATCTAGGACAGCCCGAATCTTCTTTTTCAACATCTTGAAAACTCCTCTAGAAATGATGTGTCCAAGATATTCAATGCTCATCTGAGCGAATGAACATTTCTCTGGCTTGAGGAACAAATCATTCTTCTGAAGCTTATTGAGGATGCGAATGGTGTAAGCATCAAGAGAGTCGAGATTGTCAGAAAAGATCAGGATATCGTCCATATAGATGACTAGCCATCCTTCTTGCAGTTCCACTGCAAAGATGGAATCCATCATGGCTTGGAAAGTTGCAGGCGAATTGCAAAGCCCAAAGAACATGACAGTAGGTTCATATAGACCAAATGGAGTAATGAAAGTGGCTTTCCATTCATGGCCTTTCTTGATGTGTATGTTGTTATACCCCCATCAGATATCAAATTTCGTGAAATAGCATGCGTCACAAACTTTATCCATAATGACAAGTGTGTTTGGGAGAGGGTAGGCATTCTTGATGGTCCAGTTGTTTAACCATCGATAGTCCTGGCAAGGACGTTTCTTGCTGTCGGTTTTAGCAACAAAGAAAAAGGATGAAGCTTGTGGTGACTTCGAGGGTTGGATATAGCCTTTAGCTTCGTGCTCTTTAATAAAGTCGGTGGTAAGCTGCGTCTCTTCTGGAGACAGCTTATAGACTTTGCCTATCTTCGGTTCAAATTCTGGTTTGAGATTGATCTCATGATCCCAAGATCAGCTTGCTGGAAAACAACTTGCAGTTGATTCTTGAAATATGTCAAGAAATTGGTGAAATTTCTCAGGTATCATTTGCTTGAGAGTCGGTGGGGTTGAGCGCATCAGTGAAGAGGGGTTCTGGTCCACAAGTATTTCTTCTTGTGTGGGGTTGCTGTCCGGAGAAACTTCACCTTCAGTGGATTCGTCGTGACTGAATTCTCCTGATTTAGGGGAGAGGTAGATGGAGGAATCTCCTATGGATTGTTGGTTAATCCTCATCTCCATCGTATCTTCATTTAAATTGTCGTCGGTCTGGTCGCAGAAGTCTTCATCATCTGCACCTGAGAAAATGTTGGAGAATTTGTCTTCCAACTCTAATCTTGCAAGTTGAATCTCGTTGCTATCACGGATGGAGCTGTCAAGCAGGCGCTTAACATAAAACGCGTGCCAAGTAGTGCTTAGCTCCTCTTCTAGGTCAACTTGATTAACCATGAGCTGTTCAGGTCGCCAAGATAGAGTTTGGTTCAACCACGAAATAATCGGGTCAAACTCTTTAAGCCAGGGGCATCCAATTCTGGCTACGTAAAGGCGTACTGGGCAATCTTGCTCTCCCAAGTGCAGATTCGCAACCATGTACTTGTCAATCATTCCTTCTCAATTCTTGGATCCATCGATGTTAAAGGCCTTTATGGGGTGGTCAAGGGTTTCGGTGAGCAAATTGTTTCTTTCAACAATAGAAACATTGATAAAGGATCCTCCTGCTCCTGAATCTATAAGCACGTTGGTTTCAACGGTTTTGGGTTCTCCTTCCCAGGAATAACAGAACACTTTTGCCAAGCAAAACATGTTCTGATTTCTAATGTTTGCGACAATAGCTTGATAGACACCTGTATCAGTTAGAAAAATATAGAAATACAAGGCAGTTTCCTAACTATGAATCTAAGCCCTGGAGGGCAATATGTTACCTTCCACTTTGGGAAGGCTCTCCTAATAAGAGGGAGGGGTTGCTGGGTGCCCGGCATCTGCAAGGGTGATGAGGAGGGGGTAAATAAATTAGTAAGCATCCATTTCCGGGGTGGGCGGGTGGTGGGAGGTGCAGGAGGGGGCGGAATGGGGGCGGGATAGGCCAAGCAGGACCCCAGGGCACTGCAGAGAACTGGTCATGTGACCTGTTTGCTCTGCAGCCTCAACCGGGGCCGTTTTTTGTGAAAAAAGTGCCCAGGGCCAATGTGATAGTATGTTACTGTATGTCATAAAAAAATCAGGAGAATCTGGGATGTGGAATGTTGCGAAACAGCGCGTATGAGGTGTCACCTTAACTTGGTGCGCGTTTATTTTTAGCACAAGCTGCTAAATTGGGATCTGGCATCAAAATAGCCATTGCTGGCGCATTTTGGGCTCGTTTGGCTTCCCCCTGGTGGAAATTGATGGGAACGATGATGCAATAATTTTGAGGGAATTCGTAGCTACCTGTAGACACCCAGAATGTGTGAATACGACCATTTTTGGCAATGTTATGGCCTAAACTGTGCTTCTATGCACAAAAATGCGAAAATGCGCACCCAATGCTCTGCCTCTCATGCATCCCTGCCTCATAAAAACTAGCTGATAATTTAGTATGCTACTAGAGCTTCAGAACGAGCCAGTAATAATGGCCTTGCATGCATTATTGGTTATGCAATGGGCCTTTTGATGTTTATGTGCTAAAAAACCGAAAAAGCGCACTCAAATCTCTATGCCACACATGTATCTATCCTTTCCAAACATTATGAGTTCAGATAGAGGTTATCAAGGGCTACAAAACACGCTATTCAGCGTCTCCACACATTCATTTGTTCAAAAGATATACCCAAGACACTTCACAAGATACCAGAAAAATCGAAAATGTGCACTCTTATATCCCTTCAAGCAAAGCTGGGGGTATTCCTGTCACTCCAACATAACATGAACACTATCCTAGCACCCTCCCTTCTTTTTCTGCCCTCAAGACTGTGTAGAAACACCCCAATTCCATGACCAAAGACACTTCCTTCTTCTTGCCTGGGGGATTCCCACAATGTTGATGGTGGACATGGCATCCTTCTGGCATGCCCTCTAGTGCCCCAAATCTCCTCGAATAGTTTGGAATACCTACTATACTACTGTTAGAGTGATCTACAAAAAGTCCGACGCAAATTGGATAAGAACTGAATATTTTATTCATGCAACTGTCCTTCTGCCTTCTCAATTGCCCTCTCCAAGATTCTACCTCGGATTGGAGGTATAGTCCTTGCTCTAAAATTTCGTAAAAATGTGTTTAAAATATATATTATAGATTATAGTAACTATCAGGTGTTTGTAAACCCCTCTCAGACCTGTGAGCAATGATACTACCTCCAGTTTCCGGGGTGAACACATTTGACAAACTAGGCAATATGGTGATCACCACTCCTCACCAGTCTGTTTGAGGTTCATTTCAGACCTCCTGCCTTCCACAATGACCCAATCACAATAGAATTTTTTGAGGACACTTAGAAGTAGTCAGTAGAATATCTCTGCATTGTCTGATTAATTATATATATCCTTGATCTCCTTAAAAGTGGCAATCAGTTTGATTTTTATGTTATCTAAGGTGTCACATTGGTTGTCTCGGAGGTGTTGGAATTTGAAGAGGAGATGGTTCCGATCCTGGGACATGTTTCTTCTTGAAGATTGGTGAAGAATTGGGCATCCCATGGGGCAAACAAGGTGATTATAGGTAGAAAACCCGAAATTGGCCACTGCAAGTGCATTTGGCATTATTAGCTCCTGTATTCTTGCATGGAGGTACCTATATGGCGACCATTAACATGTATATGTGTTACAGCTCACATAAGTAGCCTGGGGAATGGGAAATGGAGGGCGCATTTCTGGCTTTTCAGGGGGAGGAGGAAGGGGTGCTTATATTATATTAAAAGGGAGTCTATACCATGCTATGTGATTGTAAATAGTAACTAGGGCACTGGGTGAGACTGACTGAAAAGTTCTACAGGTCTTGGATAAGAATTGGGGGAGATACAGAAGTTTGCTTTTTGTGATATTGAGGGATGAGGAGTGTCTTGGGTATATCTTTTGAACAAATGAATGTGTGGAGACGCTGAATAGCGTGTTTTGTAGCCCTTGATAACCTCTATCTGAACTCATAATGTTTGGAAAGGATAGATACATGTGTGGCATAGAGATTTGAGTGCGCTTTTTCGGTTTTTTAGCACATAAACATCAAAAGGCCCATTGCATAACCAATAATGCATGCAAGGCCATTATTACTGGCTCGTTCTGAAGCTCTAGTAGCATACTAAATTATCAGCTAGTTTTTATGAGGCAGGGATGCATGAGAGGCAGAGCATTGGGTGCGCATTTTCGCATTTTTGTGCATAGAAGCACAGTTTAGGCCATAACATTGCCAAAAATGGTCGTATTCACACATTCTGGGTGTCTACAGGTAGCTACGAATTCCCTCAAAATTATTGCATCATCGTTCCCATCAATGGGGAAAAACCAGCGGCCCTCGTGCGCCAGCAATGGCTATTTTGATGCCAGATCCCAATTTAGCAGCTTGTGCTAAAAATAAACGCGCACCAAGTTAAGGTGACACCTCATACGCGCTGTTTCGCAACATTCCACATCCCAGATTCTCCTGATTTTTTTATGACATACAGTAACATACTATCACATTGGCCCTGGGCACTTTTTTCACAAAAAACGGCCCCGGTTGAGGCTGCAGAGCAAACAGGTCACATGACCAGTTCTCTGCAGTGCCCTGGGGTCCTGCTTGGCCTATCCTGCCCCCTCCTGCACCTCCCACCACCTGCCCACCCCGGAAATGGATGCTTACTAATTTATTTACCCCCTCCTCATCACCCTTGCAGATGCCGGGCACCCAGCAACCCCTCCCTCTTATTAGGAGAGCCTTCCCAAAGCGGAAGGTAGCATATTGCCCTCCAGGGCTTAGATTCATAGTTAGGAAACTGCCTTGTATTTCTATATTTTTCTAGCTTACATGGCTGTGATAGATGGAAAGATATGGTGGCAAATATGGTGGAAGGGGTTAGTATGGTGGTAAAGGCTCTTCTGATGTCGAAACAGTCAAGCCTATCAAAAATCCTCATCTTCGTCTCCTGAGGCATCTGCTGCTTTCTGCCATTCTTCATATTCATCATCACTCAATTCTGTGATGAGCGATCAAATATGGGTATGAATTTGTCATCCAGTAAACTTCTTGCCTTTGGGATTAGGCTTGCCCTTGTTCTTTGATTGCATTGGTAGAGGTCAAGATTGTTGCTGGTTCGGATTCTGTTTGGAAGAAGATTGTTGTTGCGGTCTAGAGGACTGCTGTTGCTTTCGAAGAGGACATTCTTGGGAAGTATGTCCTGAGTGCCTACAAAAGAAACATAACCCTTTGCGCTTGCATTTGGCATATTCCTTGGGAGTCATGGCATTGATAGCGACCTTTATTGCTTGTTCAAATGGGAGGGTGCTTAAAGCATCAACGTCTATAGCCCATGGGTCTTTGGAAGCGCCAGCACCTGGTGGTGGTGCGGGTCTTTGGTACTGCTGTTGATAACTTCCTCCTCCATTATATCCACGGTAGGTAGGTTTCGATTGGGTTCGGTTTCCTGTGTAGTGTCCTAAAGCCTGGTTCTTTCGATGTTCAGCATGGTTGAAATGTTGGGCTTTCCTCTTCCAATCTGTGTACGTATCGGGTACAGTTTCTCCACTAAGGATGCATTTGAATAATTTGCAATTAAGAACTTCTTTGAAAGCTTCTATTTTGGCTTCAGCTCCATCCATTCCAGCTTTGGTCCAAGTCATTTCGAATTCGGTGACGTACTCGGAAACTGTTCGGTTTCCTTGTCTGAGTCCCTTGAGTTTATGACAGGCATCTCCTGGTTCATCATCAGGGGCAAATGATTCTTCAAGTTTTTCAAGAAAACTTGTCCAGGTTCTGGTTGAAAAATCGGTAGTGACCTTCTTTTTTGCCACAGCGGTAGAAGTAGAAGTTGATGGAACAGTTGCGGCAGAAGTGACTTGTTCATCAACATAAGCTTGTGCCCATGCTTCAGCTGCACCCTTGGTCTTAAAGGTGAGTGTGAAGAAAATCTTCTTCTTGTCATCATCGTATTTTCCGCTGTTCGCAGACAAATAAAGGAGAACACTCCTAAGCCATGGTCGATACTGCTTAGGATTTCCATCAAAGTCAAAGGGTTTGTTGACTTTTAACTCGGATGGGTTCGATGCCATTCCTGAAATGACTAATGATCCTGGAGGTGGTGGTGGAGGCGAACCTGAAGGTGGTTTTGGTGGTCTTGGTGGTCGTGGGGGTTTAGAGTTGTCTTCTTCATCAGAGGCTTCCCAAATTTGTTTCCTTTTGCCTTTCTTGTCTTCCAGAAATTCTGTTTTAACAAATTGTGGAAGAGGTCAGAGGGTTCCTTGAATTTCTTCTCCTTCCGAGCTGACTTGGATTGGTTGGTGATTATCCTGAGGAAGTTTTCTAGAGCGAATCCCTCAAATTTGGCTCCAGTGTCTACTCGGTAGAAGGTAAGGGGTAAGGAAAACCAGGATAGGGTGATTGCTGGTACTGGAAAACCTTGAAGTGTTTGTTGGACTTCGGAGAAAGCTTGAGCAATGGCTGCTGGGGTCGCCGTCCGATCAGTTATTGCTGAAAGAGACGTCTGCATCGTAGTCGGTAGGGGAGGGTCGCTGTGGAAACTCGGGGGAACTCTCAGCTGTTCCTTGTCCTGGCTGTGCTGCCAGGTCAGTTGAGTAGGATACGGTTCCACTGAACCTGCTCTCGAACCTCCTCCTGTGGTGCTCAAAGGAGTCGGGGATCCCAGATGGTGTGCTGCTTGGGTTAGGATTGGTGTCCCAAGTTTGGGTTGAGGAGACCATACTGTTTTTGGCTCTGAAGACTGGCTCGAAGTGGTTTTCGAAGGCTGAGCTGGGCGTTCTGGGGTGGTCGTGGTGGGACAAGGGAGCCCATTCATTCACCCAGATGTGAATGATTGGAGTGCCGAAGTATAGGAAGTAATTGGAAAATGGGATTTGCAAATAAACTGTGTTGTTGATGTAATGGATAACCCGTGTTTCGTAGAGGGTTTTGGTTTCTCTCCAATACTGTTCAGTTCAATGAGACAGTGGGGTTGCCATGATGAGGATAGAACTCCGTCGAGTCACTTCCTAAAAGTCTTCAGGGTCTTGCTTATATATCGTTCTCCACGCGTACTTCGTGTATAGCCCTGAGACAAACACGAAGAACCCAATGAACGTAGATCAGGAGGACAATAATAGTCATGATATAGGAAGGAATCCTGCTATTTTGAGGTTCAGAATCCATTGGTGAGGTTCCGAAATCGACAGCCTTCTTTAAATCTTTTCGAAGAGAAGTCCCATCGCTCTTGGTCATGAAACAAATACTGCTTGAGTCATGCATAGGTCCAAGACACGTGTTCTTCCTTTTAAAGAAGGTGGCTGTGTGGCGTTGCTTCTGGTGGTGTATCAGAAGCTCATTCTAAATTAGAATGTCTATTCTTGAAATAGACCATTCTAAAATAGATTGTGGCGTGACTGTGGAATTACTTGATTTGGGGTAGCTAGTCCCGAGTCAAGTTCCGAGTATAAGGATATGTGGCTGGGAGAAAGTCCGCAGTGACCCTTCTTTGTGACAACTGTCTTGCACAGCGTCTGGCATGGATTCTTGAAGATTTCAAGTCTTCATTTTCCACATCGGATTGATGAAGTCTGGCATAACCATCTTGCTTCCAGCTTTGATTTCCCAAGTGTCTGAGTCATGTCTTGAGAGTACTGCATCTCTGGATCCTAAGGTGATCCATGAGGAAATTCTTCTGACTCGTTCTTGAGGCTATGGCAAAATCTTTTCAAAGTGAAGTCAAGTGTCGACCTATTTCAGGCTTGCTGTCCTTGAATAGGAATTGAGACATCTTCAGCATAGTGCCAGCTGACTCCTGGATGAGTCAATCCCTACTGCGCAGACTCATCATGAGTCATGCACCCAAGCTTCGCAGGAAACAGAAGTGATCAGCTTCTGGAAATTTTCCTCAAGGTGGGTAGGAATGTTTGGACATGAGACCTCGGCAGGGAGGGATCTTGCACTGAGTCACTGTCCACTAGAACTCGCGCTGCGCACCCTGTGCCTATTCTCAACTTCTCCTCGTTTCTGTGCAGAGGCTCAATACGTTGTGATCCCCCTGGGTAGGATTATCAACAAGTAGCATGCAGAGAAAACAGGATGTGTCTGCTGTACGTTCTGAGTAACCGTACATGTAGTGAATAAGATGTTGCTATGTGCATTGTCATCCAAGAAAGGGGCCTAGTCTTCTTGAATTCAGGCAATGCAAAATTGCAGTGAGCGATTAATTCCCATGCACCTGAAAAAGAAGGGTATCCATCCAGAGGACTATGGAACAGTCTGGATGTACTCTCCTTCCTCGCTCTGTACGCTACCTTCAGTATATCCCACTGGTTCAGTTGTCGTGCACCTGGTTGCTACTCCCAGGGTTGGTCGGTTGGGTATTTCCACTGGTATATCCCACCAGTTACAGTCTTTGCTGATATAACCCGTTAGTGCGGTCTTCACTCGGTGGTGGATTCGAGTAGGGAATCGTATACTCCTGGAAATGTGAGGGAACGATGAAAGTTCATCCTCGGGGTATAGAGCTTTAATCTTCTGTTACAGACACTGTCAGACTTGGCAGACTACGTGTCATACCCCCATAGTTAGGCTATGACACACAACCCGCTTGTGGCGTCGGCATTGCGATCAACGGCATAGCCTTCCCCTGCTGAAGTCCGTATGGCTTGTCTGGTGTCGCTGACAACGAATAAGTCCATAGTAGCTGTAACCGCTCATAGTCGAACACCTGGAGGCTATTGTACGAGGGCTGTCCACTACAAGGAGCTTAGACGCTAAGCGACGCTGAACTATGCCACATTGTAGTCCAAGGTTCAGGCATCCGCTGAGTTGAATGAAGCGGATGTTGTTCGTACGAGGTGATAAGCCGAGTCGAGTTTACTGTTTGAGAGTGAAAGAACAACAGTAAGACAGTAGATTAAAGCTGAACTATTACAACGAGTAGTTATGAGCTTAAATACTACAAGAATACAAATAAGTACAATACGCCATCAACGCATAGGTAATACAACTAGTAATAGTCCATATCGAGCGACTAATCTAGTAGTCCGTATAAGTCAAGCATATGTAATCAAGCATATTACTAAGAAAAGAGAAAAAGAAATGAAAATGCCATATTACATAATTGAGCCATAACAGACGCCATGACCCAAGACCACCGGAGTTGACATCGTTCATGGACGAGAAATAGAGCATTTTGCATTCTTCCTTGGTGAGTGTGTCAATACCGCTCCCAGATTTGAACTCATCGGAAAAGCGCTCAATGAAGGCCTCTTGTGCACCTGTTGCAAACACCACGAGAGTGTCATTGAGATCCAGGAGCTGTGGTGAGAAGTGCCCGATGGCAGCAATAACCACAAGCACCCACTCGTCCCACTCCTTCCCATCAAGACAGCCCTCTTTGTGGGAGATGTTGCCATTTGTCCACTGTTCTGGATTTGCCACCATCGATGCCAAAAACGTCTCTTTCTTCTGAAAGAAGGACTCAAGCTGCAGGATGTTATCGTGCTTGCGTACGTGTCTCATGAAGGGCTGGGAGACACATATGTTGTATAAAGCAAGGACACAGAGCTCGGTGAGTGTTGGTATGTCCTTGAGTGCATCTGCAAAGTTCTTCTCAATGTTTGTTTCCCCAGCTTTGTCCTTCACATCATGGACAAAGTCCATGAAGTTGATGAAGTGATCTTGGTAGACCACTATAGTTGCGGCTGCCTCTCCATGCGATCCGTATCGAGTATTGCTGACATCGGGGTAGGGTACCTGATAACCAACGTGGACCTCCATGTAAAAGTTGTATGTGTCCTGTCGGCCTTTCTTCTTGTCCTTGTTCCGACAGATCATCCCTGCAGGCCAGGACTGCTGCGTTGTCCTTATTTGCAAGGAGAATTGGCTGTACGTCCTTCTTTTCCCACATTTCATCCATTGATTTCACGCTGGCCTTGACACAGTTGAGATCCTTGTGCATGCAGCACCCAGTTCGGATAAAATGGGTGAGTACTTCTTGTTCTTCTGTGGGTAGAGCATCGAAGACCTGCTTGCCAACCTCACGAACAATCTCAATGTCGGCTTTGGCCTTCTCGTCCTCTGAGAGTGCATCCCAGGCCGCCTGGCCACCATACTGATCAATTTGTTTGGCTTTCAGGGATATCAGGATGGTGAGAACACGACCAACATCCATTTGATATAGTGCTTCCTCCCCAAGGCATTGGAGAATGACTTTGAGTCTCCATATCCATAAGATTTCATGGCTCTTCTTTTGATCGTTTGCGTGGTCACCACTCGTCCCCAACAGGCGATACACGAAGTCATCAGGAACGAAACGTAAGCCCTCTTCTTGTGCAAGTGGGCTGTTATTGAAAACTTCTGCGAGCTCAGTGAGATGCGCCTTGAGTCCTTCCACTTGGACCTTGCTTGAGTGGTTCACGGAGGTGCCAACACACAAGGAGCGTAGTTTCCATTGGGGTGGTGCGTTTGGTTTGTTGTAATTAACAACCTGTACTGTGATTGTCCAGCACTCATACTCTATGTGCTTGTGTGATGTGGAGTCAGAGCTGTAAGTTATCTCTGTGGTAATGTCAGATATATTTCTCTTGCCACAAATGTTTAACTTACTTTGTGATTGAAGGATTTCGTAGACGAGCTGAATATCTGCTGCTACGCCAAGTTCCAGAACCGTGCAGTGAGCAGTCCACTGGCTCATCTTCTTGTCAATCTTCACCCCAAGCACCTGTCCTATTTCCTGAAGTGCTGCCCCAACTTTTGCCTCAGCAGTTCCTGACCATATCAGAAGGCGAGCGAGTGAACGAGCTCGAGCAGTGTATCTTCCCTTCTCAGTCATGTGGAATGTTGATGGCTTGAGCTTTAATTTGGCTCTAATCTTCTTCTTGAGAGCAGTTTTGGCAGAGGTGAGGTGCTTGCACCGCTTCCAAAGGACCATTCATTCCCGACCCAATTCCTTCCTCGTAGCCTCCAACTTCTGAACCTGGGCCTGCAATACACAAAGAGAGTTGTCCGCAGACTCCTTCACATCCTCCAGCTTCCTCCCCAGCATCCCAAGAACACCTCTCATCCGGTAAGCATCAGCTTTTGCTTGCTTGAGACTGGTTTTGCAGGCTTCACTGGTTTTTTGCAGCTTGAGATACCAACATCTCTCATTCCATCTCTTATGGCTTTCCTCCTTTGCCTTTGCCTTGTAGAACGCGACCTCGGCCTTGAGATCTTCTATTATTCTCTCTGTCAAAGGTTCCAGCACCACATTTGTGGTGTCACCGAGTGGGTCGTGTCGAATGTCAGGGGCTTTCTGCCGTGCTCGGTTTGTGATTTCTATCTGTTTTGGGGACTGTTTGGACTTTTTCTTGTACTCGGAGGGCATCAAAAATATGTTGACAGTGTATAGCAGCAATACATCAGGAAAAGGCACCCTGTGCCCAGGGCAACACAGACAAACACCATTTTCCCAGAGTTATTTAGCACCCCTCAGAGCACTCAAAGTACTTTGAGATGCCCTGGACATCTTCAGAAACATAGAGCACAACATTGCTTCAGAAATTATATTATACATTATAGATGTCAGTCTATTCACTACATTAGTCTAATAGATGGTCTGATATGTGTATTTGTCTACCCAATTGTTGACTAGAAATGATGAAGCAAGATCAAGTACACTAGAAGATGTCCATTTTTTCTCTTCTGGAGGAGTATCTCGTGGAGCAAAGCAAGGAAATAGCATACAGCTCTGGCGAATATTAGATAAGGGAACCACTATACCAGGTAGGTGTCCACCTGCTCCAGAAATCTTTGAAATCTTGTACATTCCATGATAATGGTCAGCTGTTCCAGGTAAATTTGAGTACCATTCTACATAGGCCAAAGGTCCTTGTGGCCAGAATTTTGGAGGCTTTTCAGGACCAAAGCCTGCATCAATGGTTTCAGGAAGGGTGAAGATGACTCTAACACGGCCAATACGGGTACCTAATCCAGGAGATAACCAGTTCGTTGGACCATGAGTAGTAATTATTAAACTGTCATACCAGCTAACCCTGTTGATTGAGCTTCATCATTGACCAAGACTACTGCTGTATCATATCGTCCATGTGGATAGCCCTTGCTTTGTGGAATTGCCTGGATAATATCATGCTCTTCCTCGTCATCCTGGATTCCTTCAGGTTGAAAGCGGAACATATTATAGGTACTGACTTTGGTGAATGGCAGTGAGAACTGAGCAGTTCTTGCAGCAGACATTCGTGGTGCAGAAGAATTTGCCACCAGAAGACCACCAAGGTATTGCTTGAGATGGTAGGAGAAATTGGGAGCATTGTGTACAACTTCAATTTGTGAAAGAGCACGGTTTTGAAGTTTGGTTCCTTTGCAATAGTAATTGTAGATTCAACCTCATGTAAGTCATCTGAGTTAGCACCAGGAGAAGATGGTGGAGACGGTGTGGGATGAGGTACAGAAAAGTGGGCAGATATATATGTCGCAAGCTGAGAGATCTTCTCTTGCCGACTCAGCCAGCAAATCATCTGGGGGAATTCATTGCGCTTGTTGGAGGCACGCCAGCCATGTTTAGCAAAGTCAATGTGAAGGCGCTCAAACATCTCAGTGTTGTAATTATCAGTCGTTCCAAAGAGCTTGATGGAATGGATGTAGTGGAGAAGAGAATGGAACTTGGGAATGTTGAGGTGTTGCCGAAGACCAGTGTCAATAAAAAACTGCTTGTTCTCCTGAAATTCATCAAGGGCATCTTGAAGATAACAGAGTGTTTCTGTAGTATGAGATGTATACTGAGCTATATAGATGAAGTTGAGAAGGGATCGGATGGCGGTGATGCCAGCACAAGGAAGATGCCCAACCAGACACCCAAGAAGAATCTTTGCCATATTCTTCCTTTCTGGTCCTGAAATCTGTGCAAGAGATGAAAAGCCATCTTTAAAATGACGGAGCCCTTGTTGGAGAGGGAGGCAGTGGACACAGCGGTCAAGTTCTGCGGGAGTAAGCAGGGTCTGACACTAAATAATAAGATGCTTAAAGACACCTTGGTACAATTGATGAAGGATGTCAGGGGTGATTGTATTGTGGATGTTGCAGTGGGGAAACTCTTTCCAGAAGGGGTCATAAGTACCTCCAGACACATCTTGCTCCATGCAGTAGTCGTGAAATGCCTTTGCAGAACCATTACTTTGTTTTTTTGCCTCTTCGATAATAGATTCAGTCTATTGCTGGGTGTGGTCTGGGGCTGGCTCAGGGTCTTGGAGGTTCTTTGCTGAAGATCGGCATTTTGGGCATGTTCCATACTTGGAGCAGGTCACAAGACACTGCTCTGGATAGTTGGCCACATAAGAAGTGAGGATGGGAAAGATGTGGCGAACAGCACCATCAGAACTTTCCATTTGAACACCTTTGATACCAGCTTCAATGAGTGGTTGAAGAACCTCGCACATGGACTGATGAAAGATACGATGCATTTGAGAGCGATGCTGTTGCTCCGTCATCTCTATCCTCTTGACCTTGTCAACGGAAAGATATGCAATAAGAACACAGGCATTCTTTGTGGGTTTGTGTCAAAGAGACTTGGGAATGTTTCCAATGGTAAGGTAGACTGGATATGCTGATTTGTTGCCCGAGAACTGAGTCAGTTGAGTCTTGTCAGTAGCGATGATAACTGGAGCTACAGTTCCACCTTCAGGAACCTTGCTCTACACATGGGATGAGAGGGCAATTATCATGAAAATAAGGGAGCTTACATACCTGGAGAACGTGCCACCATTGCCCTGTCCACATCTCAGAGCAGATATGATTCTCTTGTTTTGAGTCAGAGTAAACACAGGTTGGGGCAAATGCCATCTTTGGAGAGATTTCAGGATTCTTCCAAAGGCTCTTGATGGCCTCAATGGGATCATGATGGCAAACAGTGAATTTCTCATCTGGACAGTCTGAGAAGGCAAGTTCTTTGGTTTTCCACTTGCCAGCTTTCTCTGGAAGGGAGTCGACTTTTTTGTGAAGTGCTTGGACATTATGGTATGAGAGGCCAAGCTTCTCAACAACCTAAACAACGTCAATATGCCGGTAAAATCTATTGCAAATGGGTAACTTACTCCAGGAATTTTTAGCAAGCAGTCAAAGGTGTTGTGTCCAGGACTGTCCTTGATGGCCCATTGCGCAATCTTCCAGTCAAGCTCAGAAGTGAACGGACCATAATCTTGACCAAAATCTTGTGGATCTCCCATACGAACATCACCATCTTGATCCTTATGAGGTGGATCATGCAAGATATGACCTGCTGTGGGATGTGTCCAAGTCACCCGTTCATCCTTGTCATCATCCAGTTGCCGACCTCCTGCTTGGTCTCTTGTTGGAGAGTCAGGTGGTGAAGAAGGACCAGCAGCAGATGAGCTTGAAGTACCAGCATTTGGTTCCTCTTCCATAGATGGGACAAAGTGGGCACGATCAATAATAGGATGGACAAAGTCATGGAAGTCAAAGCCCACACCGTCATCCTCATCATCCCAATTGACTTCAGAATCCTCATCCCACTCTTGTTCCAAGTCAATGTCTTCCTCATCGATATCCAGAGCTCGGAGCTTTTCCTTTCTTCCACCACGAGCAGGCCTTCTTGGTTGTTAGATGGGAATTCATGCCTTTTACGGTCTGGAAGATGCGTCCACAGGCAGGGCATTGATTTTCTAGGAGAGGAAACTCTCCAGAAGTTTCGTATAAAGGCATTGGATTGGGAAGTGTGAGAACAGATGAGTAGTGACAGGGAAAGCAAAATGAGAGCGCGATAGCAAAGGAAGCAGGGAATGTCTGATAGAGAATGTAGGCCAATAACAAACAACGGACATTACCGAATGCTCAGACTCAGAAAAAAACTAGTCATGAGACTGTCTCAATGACGGTTATATGAACAACAATGTCCTGATTGCGCCTCCTTCGGAAATCTGTTGATTGACTTCTGTCAGACTAAAATTAACAACAAAGAAAGAATAAACTCACAGAAACAATTAGCCATTTCATTTATCCAGCACTTCTCTCTTATTTTTCTTCCAGAATTATGAATGGAACAAAACCAGGGACCTGAAGATGTCAAATCCTCAAGTGATGGAAGAAAGGCAGCAAAATTGAAACTTACCCAATGCT